TATGGTTTTTCTTTTTTAGACTGTTAATATGATGGGTTATGTTGATTAAAATTTCAAATAGTGAATCAGCCTTGCATCCCTAGAATAAACCCAGCTTGGTTGTGGTATGTTTTTCTTTCATATATTGCTGGGTTTGATTTGCTATTATTTTGTTGAAGATTTTTGCATCTGTTTCTGAGGGATATTGGTCTGTGTGTGTGTGTTTTGTAAGTACTCTCATAAAGCTGACCTCATTAAATATATTGGAAAGAGAATTTAGTATTGATGTTATTTATTTTTTAGATATTTCATAGAATATGCTAATGAAGCCATCAGGGCCAGTTTTATTAATTTTTTTTTCCCCTAAAAAACAGCTTCAGTCTTATTGATTATTTCATTTCTTTTTCTGTTGTCAATTTTATTGATTTCTGTTCTTTATTATTTTCTTATTTTTCTTACTAAAGCTTCATTTTGTCCTTTTTCTAGTTTTGTTAGGTAGAAGCTTAGATCATTGGTTTGAGACTTTATTTCTGCTATGAGCATTTATTACTATAAATTTCCCTATGAGAACTACTTTAGCTTTGTCTTATGAATTTCAGTATGTTGTATTTTCATTTTCATTCAGGTCAATGAATGTATTCCTTTATTTCCTTTGATACTTCCTCTCTGACCTGTGGATTATTTAAAAATATGCTTTTTAATTTCAAAGTGTTAGATTTTCCTATTATCATTTTGTTATTGATTTCTAGTTGATACTATTATAGTCAGAGAAAATACTTTGCTTTCAGTTTTTTAGTATTCCCTTTGATTTATCTATATTGTTTTTGAGTTTATCTTTTAGATTTTTGAGTGGTTGCTCTAGAAATTACAATATGCATGCATGGTTTATCAATAAATCTACTAGCATCAACATTTTATCATTCAAGTGGAACGCAGATATCTTAGCACCACCAAAATTGCTTTACCCCCTTCTCTTTATGATCTGGTTATCTTTAATGTCACCTCCACATATATTGAGAATGCTGTAATTTTTGCTTCTGTCAAAAACAATTTTAAAAACTCAAAAGAATAGTTTACTACATTTACCCTTTCTGTTTTTTCTTCCTTCTTCTTGTTCTAAGTTTCCTTTAATTATCATTTTCTTCATCTCTGAATAACTTTTCATGCTGGATAATTTCTATTAAATCATCTTCTAGTTCTCTGACTTTTTCCTATGTCATCTCCACTTGATTTTTGTATAGTGATCTTGTATCTGCTAACCTTACTAAAAGCACTTATTAGTGCTAGTATCTTTTTTGTAGACACCATCCAGTTTTCTATATAGATGATCATGTTGTCATTGAATAACTACAGTTTTATTTCTTCCCTTCCAATCTGGATGCCTTTTATTTATTCTTCTTGCTTTATCACACTGACTAGAACATCCAGTATAATGCTTAACAGAAGTGGTGAGAACAGACTTCTTTATCTTGTTCCCTACCTTAGGGGGAAAATATTTAGTATTTTACCGTTAAGTATGCTTTTAGCTGTGGGTTTTTTTCTGTTGATGTGATTTATTATGTTAAGGAAGTTTCCTTCCATTACTGCTTTACTGAGAGTTTTTATTCAAGATGGATGTTGGATTTTTGTTGGATTTGTGTCTATTGTGATAAAAATGGTTTTACTTTTTTGTTTTTTTATGAATTACACTAACTGTTTTGAATGTTAAGTAAAGCTTGCAATCGTGGGATAAATACCACTCGGTCATGAAGTACTATCTTTTTGTGTATTACTGGATTCACTGTGCTAATCTTTTGTTAAGATTTTTACATCTATATTCATGAGGGACTGCAGTTTTCTTGAAATGTCTTTGTCTGGTTTTGATATCAGAGTAATGCTGGCCTCAGAGCAATTTTCTGTTAAGAGTTTGTGTAGAATTGGTGGTTTTTTCTTAAATGTCTGGTGAATTCACCAGGGAGCCTATCAGGGCCTGGAATTTTCTTTGGGGGAAGGCTTTTAACTATAAATTCAGTGCTTTAATAGATATAGGGCTTTACTGGTTATCTGTGTTTTCTTGAATAAGCTTTGATTATTTGTGTTTTTTAAGGAATTTGTCTATTTCATTTTAGTTGTCAAGTTTATTGGCTTACATTTGTTTATAGTATTCCTTTATCATTTAAAAATATTAGTTATCTTTGATGTTTGAAATTTGTGATCTTTTTTTTCTGATCACTCTATTAAGTGGACCAGTGATTTATCAATTTTAATGATCTTCTCAAGGAACCAGCTTGGTTTTATTGAATTTTTCTATTGTTTTTGTCTGTTTTGTTTTCTATACCATTGATTTCTGCTTTGATTCCATCATTTTAAAAGTTTTGCTTGCTTTGTGTTTAATTTACCCTTTTTTAGTTTCTCAAGGTGGAAGCTTAAGTTGATTTAAGACCTTTCTTTTTCTACATAGGCTTTTAGTGTTACATATTTCCCTCTAAGTACTGTTTTAGCTGCATCACACCCATTTTGGTATGTTGTTTTTTCATTTTCATTCATATTAAAATGCTTTCTAATTTCACTTTTGATATCTTCTTAGACCCATGGGTTATTTAAAAGTATATTGTTTAGCTTACAAATATTTGGAGTTTATCCAGAGATCTTTCTGTTATTGATTTCTAATTTAATTTCATTGGTGTCAGAGAACATACCTTGTATGGCTTGAATTCTTTCAAATTTATTGAGATTTGTTTCATAGCCAGAGTATGATTTATATTGGTAAATGTACTGCTGTTATTGAGTGGAGTATTTTATAAATGTTAGATCAAGGTAGTTGATAACGTCGTTCAAGTACTTTACAGTTTTATCATGTAAATTTAAATGTATGTTTTTCTAATATGCTTTATATTTTTTACATTTGTACATCATGGATTCATTTTTATTTTATCAGAGTATATTCTCTATTACTTTGTGTGGCAGATTTTATTTTACAAAGAAGTTCACAACATTATTTTCCATCCCTCATGCTCTTCTGTAATGTGTCTTGCCACAAAGAATGCAAACCAATTCCCCTCCACTTGAGTATGGGCTATCTATCCTTAGTCACTTGAAATCAGTTATTATGTAGCAGGAATGGTGTTTCATGACTTCCATGACAAGGTCAGGAAAAGCAATATAGCTTTCACTTGGTTATCTTGGAATGCTTGATCTTCAGACATTCCTTCTTAGATTGCTCTTTCTCAGAACCTACCTGCCACACTGTGAGATGCCAAACCAAAAAGAGAGGCCATGTGTAAGTGCTCTGGGTTAGAGCTCTAACTGAGCACTTCCTTTGGCCATTCCAGCCCAGATGTCAGATACCTACATGGAGAAAGAAGTAATTTTAAAAGTAAGGTCTCCAGCCCCAGCTTTTGCAGCTGTTGAAATCAACAACAATCATTTCAGTGTTCCCAGATGAGTCCCCTCTGACCTATAGGATTCCTAAACATAATAAAGTATTTATTGTTCTGTACCATTAAGTTTGATTAGTGGTGGTGCACAACAGTAGTAGCAAGATTATTTCTGTTTCTGTTGGATTCAAGGAAGAAAACATTGTAGTCCTTACATATCTGAAAATGGTTTTAACTTCACTCTTAACTGGTGGTTTAATTGAATCTAGAATTCCTAGATATAAAGTAATTGTCTCTCAGAACTTTGAAATTATTTCTCCATTGTCTTGTTGCATCCGTCTGTTGCCAGTGAGATGTCATGTAAATGCAATTCTCATTCCTTTGTGTGGGCTTTGTTTTTCCCTCTGAAGCTTTTAGGATTTGTGGGTTTCAGATATTTCATCAAAATGAGTTTAGGTAATCCACGGTCCATTTTGAGGACCCATGTCTTTTTATTTGCCTCAGTATATTTATTATACTCATTCTGAAATCTTGTTTTCTTTACTCTTTTAGCCTTCTTTGGTCACTTTTTGATTAACTGTAATTGGTTCCTTCTTTTCACTTTGTTGTCTGTCAAATTTAGGAAATTTTTGGCTGTTTTGTTGTTGATTTTGTTTGCTTTCTGAGATGACATGTTACCCTTTCTACAAATATTTGTCAGTTCATAGCTGCCTGCATCCAGAGGTTGCTGGGAACAACAAAGTACCAGGAAGAGTTTAGGGGTTCCTCATCTTCCTAAGTGTCACTGGATACCGGGAAACTTCTCAGTCATTGGGGATAAATACCTATATTTACCTTTCAGCCATGGTTGAAGGCAGCAGAGGAGGTGACTATTTGGCTTCTACTGAAGTATTTTGACCAATAACTATTTTCTGCCAAGGAAATTTCTCACTTCCCATTTTTGCTGCTTTAGAGCATGGAGAAACTCCCACTTTTGGCATTAGTTTTTTCATGGGTATTCTACAGGAATATGATTACCTACTTTAATCTGATTTTATCTGCTTTTTGTCTTTCAGAGTTTCTTCCTTATATTTGCTTCACTGAGGACAGTTGTTTTCAGGGCTGTCTTAGAATTTAAGGAGCGGGTTCTTAGTCTGCCATTCTAGTCTTAATTGTGGAAGTTGTGTTTAAAATGCACAGAAATCTCACAAGCTTTGTTTTGTATATGGACCTGTAATTCTACTTTTTCTTTTGCCAGTTCTTTCTTATACTATTCTTATTACTAGCTAGAAAAACTACTAGTGTCTCTCTTATCTTGCATCTCTTCATCTATGCTTGGATCTCAGTATTGATGAAAATCCTCCTTTTGTGGATTATATTAATAAGAAAATGATGTTTTAGACTTCAGTTTTGACAAAACCACATGGAATATGTTATCAAGTAAAAGTGTTGCAATATAGTTTGCAGAAATTTTTAGAAAGAGTTTACCTATGTCCCTCACATTTTTTTGTTATCTTTTGATTTTCAGTGACTAAAATAATCACAATTTTTTCAGGTTGTAAAAGAGTCAGTTTTTAATTTGTTTGTATAGGTTTATATTTTAAGTAAACCACAGAACTTATTTTTCCCTAATCTGGTGATTTATTTGGGACTTTACTATATTAAATAAAAATCTTTTTTTTCCAGGGCAGCATCTCAGACATGTTGAAAAAGATGTTTTGATCCCTAAAATAATGAGAGAAAAGGCCAGAGAGAGGTGTTCTGAACAAGTTCAAGGTAAGATTCAAATATTCATATAAAGATCAAATTCATTTTTAATAATGTGATCTGAATTTAATCCTTAGCCTCAGAATCAAGTAGTCAGTGAATTAATATGTATGAATTGCTTCTCACCCTTTCAGTGAGATACCAGTATTTCAGCTTTCAGAACTTCCAGGCAGTGCTCAATTCATTTACAATTTAAAAATATTCCCCCAAATTACTAGTAAAAGCATGTTTTCTCAGAAGTATAGTTATATAGAGAGAAAAACTTGGTATGAGTATTTTGGAGGAAGAAGTTAGTCTGTTGATTTTGATAGGGAAAGAAGAAACGTCAAATCTAACATGTACCTGTTTTTCACCTATAAACATATTCTTATGTGTGTGTGTGTGCATTTTTTTTTCCCCTAAGATGATTTTTTTTGGTGTCATTGTTTATTCCTTAATTGTTAATGGAAACCCAGTAGGTCTTAAATGAGTCTGGGGCTTTTTGTGTTGTATTTGTTTTATGTTTCTAAATAGAAGATATTTATGTAAATGCATGCACCAGGCACCCACACATGCATGTTCTCTTTGGGAAATGTTTTTAACATGAAATACTTCTATACTCTATAATCTAGAGGCATATTCTTGGTTAATATGTAACATTCTAGTGAAAAATGTAAACAAAGCAGTGGAAGGTAAATTGAGGCCTTAATACATCTGTAAATGATGGGTAATTAGAAAAGCAGATGGCAATATTACCGTAGAAATGTCTTTTAAAAATCTTTCTTTTGGAATGGCCATCCAAAGGAAGTAGTAAAATTTTGCTGGCACAGGCTGTTTTCCTGGCTCTCCTTCACTCCCTCTTGTAGTCGTCTTTGCTGAGGGACTACAATAATTCTTAGGATGATGGGCTATAGTTCCAAAACAAGCTTTATAGGGAAGCTAGGCTATGTCAATTCTAGTTTTAGGACTGTGTCAATAATGTTTGGATGCTAGGAACATTTGTGTTTCCTTCCCTGCTTCTATTGCTTAGAGATGACCTTTGTAATTGATGGATGGAGGCAATAAAATAAAAGCAGTTCCTTATACTCAACACCGTGATGGTCATTTTTGTTTCTTAAGTTAAATTGCTCATTATGACCTATTCCATTTTAAATTCATCTATAAATTGGTAATTTAAAATAATCATCCTATGGTATTACTCTTTTTTCATTATGAACTAGTTGTTTAATCAGAGTACCTTCCTTCAACCCCTAACCCCAGGTGTCAGGAGAAATTAATCCATTGGCACCTGCAGACAGGGTTCAGTGCACATCTGGCATTGGCAGGTGTCATGCTGATAGTCTCAAGAGGTAATCCTCCACCTGCCTCGTAGAACTTTGAAAAATACCTATCCTGATTCAGGTGAGTGAGGGTAAAACTTAAAAATGGATAATAAAGTTACAGGGTTAACTTTTCACTCCTAGGAAAATTTACTTATTACTGATATATCATTAAAGTTATAAATATAAGTTTTATTTATGCTGTTTTGTAACACATTATCCTTATACCTAGAATGAAGAGAAAGCTAGCTAACTCAATTATAGATTAAATTTTTACTGATATGATTCAGATGAAAATGCAGAATGACTGTATGGCTTTCAGAACTGCCTTTGCTTACTCTTAGACGGTAAACTTTGTTTTTGGTTTTTGAAAGTGAAAAAATAGAGTATAACTTTTAAAATATTTGTTTGTTTCTGTTGCATACCTACTACTTTATAAGGTACAGAAAAGAAAGTTTAGTTTTTACTTTACTAAAAATTAAGTTGTTTAGGATGTTGACATGGTTAAGTTTTTGTTTTTCTAGTATGTTTACAAACTTCTGAAGACCGGAAGCATCTTAAAATCTGAGATTCATTTGGATTATTTCAATGCATTTGCCCTTATTAGAATGTGTGTTATAACATAATTGATTTTTGAATATTTGAATTTCTTATAGATAATCATATATTGATTTTTTTAGGCCATATGGTCCAAAACAGTGTTTTAGAATCTAAAATTATTACATAAAAGAATAACAAATCCTTAGTAGTCTTCCTGTTTAACCATGTAAATTAGAATTAGAAAAAGAATGCACATAGTATTGTTCAAGTAGCAGAAGAAAGCTGCATTTAAACTGAACAATGAGACATAATTTAGAATCAGGACAATTTCATTGTAGTTTATTTACTGTTTATATTCTTTGCTTTATTAAATAATTATAGGATTTTATAAAAAGACATTATGCATGCTAATTGTATACTTCGTGGGTAAAGACATAGGAATTTTAATAAGTGATCTGACTTTCTGCTAAATGCCTGAAACATGATTATGTAGGAAAGCTTTTCTATTTGATTTTTTTTTTTCACGTCATTTCGACCCTGCTGACCGTAAGAATTGGATCAGACTGTCAGCAACTTAGGTTTGTGAAGGGAATGGAACAGCTTTTCTAGGGACAAAGAGAAATGAAATCACTTTCAATGAAAGAAAGATGCCTCATTATAGTCACCAACAGCAGTTATTGACAGCTACACTTCCTATTAACAAGGAGCATTTAACTAAGAGTTTGGCTGTTGGATCTTTGGACTTGATCTAATTTGCTAGCATTAATTAGTTTCTTTTGAACACAGACACTTGGTGCTCACAGCTATAGATTTGGAGGGCTAATTAGGATAGAAAATTGAACAGAATGGGGTAAGGCATTAACCTTCAACCATTACCAGCTGGGACACTGATAAAGACCACAGAGTCCAAATGCTACCTATTCATGTGAAGAGTACCCTAATGAATATCAATTTCAGCCAGGTTGCCATATTCTTACTTGTTCTCTCTTCATTATAATTTTTTAACCAGCTTCCATGATACCTTCATTATCTATAGCCTATTGGTTTTCACTATACACTCGTTTAGTCTGAGTTGCATATTTCAGTTGATGTTTAAACAAAATAAAAACTTGTCTTAAATAGCAGATAACATTTAGAATGTTTCATCATTATATACCTTAGTACTTCTGTAATCTACAATTACATGATTCTAATTCTACAGTAAATTTGTATGTCACAGTTATTGCACCATTTCAATATAATGAAAACTGTAACCTGATACAAGAAAATCTCAGCTTTTACATGACAATTAAGCAGTGTTTGTATTATTAAACTGGTGTCAACTTGGGAATCTTTGTCTTTATAAAACGGGGACACAACAATCACAATTCCTTGAACTTGCTAAGACAAGTGAATAGATATGATGTTGATGGGTGGTAGGGGGGAGAGCAAGAGGGGGGAGAGAGGAATCAGTAAAGGAGCATGAAAATCAAGTATATTGTATATTGATAAAATTTAAAAAATGTTTTTAATAATGTAAAATAAAAACATAAAAGTATATGTTTCTTTTTGAAGAGAAAGATGGTGCTTATTACCTTATCTTTTGGAATGTAACTTTGATTTGAATAGTAAAGGTGGCTTGATTTAGAAATCTACAGAATTGAGAATCCTCATCTTATGGTGAATACTGACAAAATTATAAACTTTGTTCATTTCAGACAAAAAGTTATTGATTTAAGTAAATTGATAGCATTCTTCTTTTGTCAGTGATATTATTGGCAGTTAATAGAGCCACTAGAATAAATGAGTAAACTATACACAGGGAATGAACACCGTGTACATTGGAAACTGAAGGAAAACTAGAATGGCCAAATCTCTTTCTTACTCCCTTGCCCTTTCTAAAGCCTCCATCACCTCTCAAAAGCTAAATCAGGAATCCACCTCCACCAGCTGTGATGATGGAATGATTGCTTTTTGTTGGATCTACCAACTTGTGTTTTATGGAGATGGCTTGATGAACTTTGGAGGTTGCTTTCAACTTTGTGCCTTTTTCCAGCTGTTTGACTTCACTAACTTAATGACATATTTTCTGTGTTAGTAATATTTTTTAAAACTTTGTTTGTGTTATATATGTTGGTAAAGTATACATTATAGTATTATGAATTTTTCTTCTGGAAATAGAGATTCCATGAGAGGAAGTCACTGAATTGCTATATTTTGTAAAAATTCCTATCATATTTCTTTGCTTTTTTGAAGTGCACAGTTGACATTTGATATAAAGTCTCAATGCTGGGTGATGGCATTTGCTTTAAAAATAATAAGAGGCTTTATTTATTTATTTATTTTCTTTTTGCTGTGACAGATCAAGACCAAAAAATACTTTATCGTTAGGGATGGTTTGGATCTTTTTAAAACCTAGCTATATTCTCCTACTCATTGATTCCTTTCATCCCTTGGGCTTATTTTTTTTAACCTGATTTTAATATTTGTTTTGTATATATGTTTTGGTCTTTTTTATCTTTAGGCTAATAAGTAGGGTGTAGTTCTGAAGGAATTTATATAAAGCACAAGGAAGCATGGATTGTTTGTTTCTTTGAAACATCACAGAGTTATAGTTAAATAACACAGAAGCATGATAAAAATACCTGCCCTCATCTTTCAGTTACACAGAACTGAAGTATGTTACATTTTGCCGAATTCAAAGATGCGTGAATAGATAAAAAAGAAAATCACATTAAGAATGCTTAGGATACTCTCTAGGAAGTTGTCAGGCAAAGAACTTATCCATACAACATTAAAAGAAGTTGGACGACTACAGATTATACAAGATCAATGTGATCAGTCTTTTATCCAACTGTGTTACTTGAACCTGCCAAAATATTTTCATTTGTTGTTTGAACTGTACCATTATTATCCCATATATTTTTGTCCTTTAGTCAGTTTACTAGTATTAACTAACACTGAAGTAGAGATGTGACACATCTTTAGACTGGTTTGGATATAATTAAGAGGATAATAAATAAAATCATTGAATATGGTGAATATCTGTTATGTGTAAGATTATGTTATGTACTCTGATAAATATAAATAGATATAGGGCACACTTTCTGCTCTTTGGACTTATACTGGATTATGTCAGGGGTCCCTAAGGCCAACCCTGGGTTTAGCGATTTGCTATGAGGACTCGTAAAA